AGACTTAGAGAAATTATTGGACAAAGACAAGTCAATATAGGAAGAAGCTTCAGTGCGCTGATTAGAAAGAAGCATCAAACACGAAGAGTGGTTCCTATGTCTCTATTGCTATCAGATCTATCTATGGAGTGTTACGACTTACTTCTTATGGCCATTCCATTCTTCTCCTTGCAGTCATTGAAATTGCACCACTCCTTTAATTTCTGCAATATACTTTTGACTAAATGGATATTTACATCACTATTTATAAGTTAGAAATAGTCAATTGACATGTTAATTAATATTTTTATTTTAAAATATAAATTTTTTTTGTTTAAAAAATCACTTTTTAATTTTCTTTTTTATTCATTCTGCTCTTTTAAACTGATTATATATATATATTAGACCGTAAAATAAATATATGGAAAATATTTTAATTTTTTTATTGGTCAAAACATATAAATGATGAGTGCATAGTATTGTGTGCAACTTGAGCTTTTCCTGCATTGACTTGTCAGTATTCATTATTTTCTTCAAGTCTATAATGCAAATTAAGGTTTCATCGACGACACCTTACTGCCCATTCATAAAGAAAAAGAAATTAGCTAATTAATTAAGCAAATAAAGGCGAGCTATTATGAAAACATAATGTCAGAGAAAGGAAAATAACTAGCGGGGACCATTTATGTCATGAAGAATTGAATATAAATAGTCATATAAATGGGTGTCACCTGTGACAATCCATTCATCAGACCATATCGAGTGATCATGGAAACCTCATTCCTCTCCTGATATGTTGCTAATATTTTATTGCTATGCTTCCTAATTGCTGCACTCATGCTCCCCCAAAGCATGCGCAGTGTAAGGATGCTATGCAATGAAAGAGACGTTCATCTTCTCCTAAACTTCAAGCACACTGTTGTTGATCCTTCTGCTATCCTCTCTACTTGGTCCAATGAGCGAGATTGCTGTCAGAGGAGAGGAGTTCATTGTGACAACACCACTTGTAGAGTCATCAACCTCATTCTCCCGTCTTTTAGAACCACAGGTTGATGATTGTGGAGCTCTTTGCTTCAACTTGAATTTCTAAATTACTTGGATTTGTCTAGTAATAACTTCCACGCTTTGGCCCATGATGATTACGTGAATATCACAAGTTTTAATCATCGTCATCTGTCATGTGAAAATTCCTCCAGTATTCATCATCTTGATTTATCCTTCAATGAGGATCTTAACATTGATGATCTTCATTGGCTTTCTCGTGTTCCCTCCTTGAAATATGTTCACATGAGTGGTATTAATCTTCAAGGAAAAGTTGATTGGATTCAATTGGCAACTCCGCTTCCTCACTTGCAGAGTTACAGTTTAATTCTTGTCAACTTGGAAACATAATCCTTTTCACAAATATGTCAATTTTACCTCACTTGAAGTTCTTGACCTCGCTAATAATGATATTAGCTCTGAATCCATTCCATATTGGTTGTTCAATCTCAGTGATATTGCAGCCATTGACTTGAGCAATAATTACTTTCAAGGCCACCTCCCAAAGAGTTATTAAACCATCGAAATGTGCAAGAGTTATATTTTTCTGAAAATGAACTAAGTGGACCAATTCCAGATTGGTTAGCCCAACTTGAGCATCTACAAGTCCTTGATATTAGTGAAAATTCCTTTTCTGGTCCAATTACTTCTACTCTTGGAAATATGTCATCATTGATTATCCTGGATGTTAGTTCAAATCTCTTAAATGGTAGTCTACCAGAAAGTCTTGGACAACTGTTGAATCTGCAGGAATAACTGTCGGAGATATATCACTTCCCAGGGTATGTGACTAAAAGAAATTTTGTCAAGCTCTCAAATTTGAAACGACTTTACAATGGATCACCGGATTTAAATCCTTGACTTTGATTTGCTATGGGTTCCTCCTTATCAACTTGATTTTATTCATTTGGAATACATGATAGGCTCCAAACTTCCGGCATGGGTGTATCAACAAACATCCATTAGAAGGTTAATAATTACCTCCTCAGTAATTTCATTTGAACCTCAAGATAAGTTTGGGACTTCATAGCACGAGTTCCACACTTACACCTGGAAGGAAATACCATTCATGGGGAGATGTCTAACGTGTTAGTAAACTCCACCATCATAATGTTGATTTCGAACAAACTCAAAGGCCAACTCCCTCAATTGTCACCAATGTTGTGGCACTCAGTGTGGGAAACAACTCTTTCCAAGGATCTATTTCTTCATTATTGTGTCAAAAAAAGAATGGGAGAAGCCATTAAAGTATTTGGACATGTCTTATAATCTTTTGTCAGGAGGGCTTACAAATTGTTGGATGCATTGGAAATCATTAGAAGTTATTAGTCTAGAAGGCAATAAACTAACGGGCACAATCCCCTCTACAATTATTTTGCTTTCTAACCTTAGGTTTTTGCGTCTCAACAAAAACAATTTATCTGGAGAGATACCTTCATCACTAAAAAATTGCCAGAAATTGCAAGTCCTTGATGTTAGAGAAAATAAATTATTTGGATTCTTACCCAACTGGAGGATGCAAAATGCAAAGATTCGTCGGCTAAGATCCAATCTGTAATAACCCTAACAAAATTTAAATAAATAAATAAATATATATATATATATAGGGTAACTTGCTTAAAGTATATTTATATTAATTTTTGGGATAAATATAACAAGTTAAAAACTTGGTCTAGTGGCAGCTGAGCAACCTCCCATACATAAGGTTCCAAGTTTGAATCTGGAAAAGACCAAAAGAAGAGTTAAATTTTTCTTTTTCTGGCTGTGCGAAATTACTAAACTGCCCTTAGCTTCATCAGATATTTTAACTCTTCCTTCTTCTTTTCTCGGTCATTCTAGAGCAGAAGCTCCACGAGAGAGAGAGAGAGAGAGAGGAGAGAGAGAGAGAGAGAGAGTTTCATCGTTCCTCTTCCTTCTGTGTTCGTTGGCCGGTGACCGTGGGTGCGTCTCTCACCGTCGTCACTGGAGATCGAAGAGAAAAAAGGAGATCTGAGGTTGGACGAATTTTTGCTTAGCCTTTCATGGGTCACTGCTTTCTTCCCTTTCCACCGTAGCTGGCACTGCGTTCCTGTAGCTTATCATCGCCGGTGTGCTCGTGGCTGGTCCTTCCATTTCGGTTAGGATTTTCCCTGTTTCTGCATCATTCTCCCTTGTACGAGCTCAGCGTTCCACCGTGTTAAGTCATTGAAAATGGTTGCTGCTGGTTTGAGCTGAGGCGATGCTGACTCTGGTTTCCTTTTCTTTTGAATGGTGCTACGTCTCCCTCTGTTTCTTGCATCAGCTGGAGAGTTTTGTTTTTCTCCCCTGTTTTGCTGTAGATTCTGCCTTCTTTGCTGCCTCTGCCGTTATTGGTGTTTAAGGGTGTGTGGAAGAACAAGACCTTGAAAAGATTTAAAAGAAGAATACTTTTGGGAATTTAGAACTTCAACAGGTAAGTGAATAGCATTCCCTTTAATTTATTTTTATTTTATTGGTACTTTTATTTTTTTTATAAATTTTCATTGAGATATTTTATTCTTGTGAATTACATTAGTTTTGAAATTTTGTGATATTGATTTGAGACGTTTAAAGGAGGATATATGCATTTATTTCCTCAGGGAATATGTTTTAAAGATTTATGGAATTATTTGGTTTATTAAACTCTTCAAATCCTTGATTATTTAGATAACGCAAGCTTGTATATTATTTTATGAAAGATTATTTTCAACAGGATTTAAATTAAAATTTAAAGTGATACATGCGAGTTTGGCATTGGAAACGCTGACTATATTTCATAAATAATTATTTTCTCGCATGTTTGAACACGATTTTTGAGAGGACTTCAAACAGAACACTGTTGCTAACGGCAGTTCCGTTAGCCCATAGCGCGTTGTGGTTAAATACTAGATAGTTTGTTTCGTGAGTTTTATTCTCACGTTTGGTATTAGTGGGCTTCGTACCCACGTTTGATTCCGTGGCCTGAGCCGCGTTTGGTTACTTATCCTCGTGGACTGGTGTGTCCACGTTTGTTTTCGTGGCATAAGTCGCGTTTGGTTATTTACTCTCGTGGACTATGTGTCCACATTTGTAACCTGTTATGTTGAGTTCTCAAAATTTTAAATGTTGATTAATATATGTTTTCAAAATTTACCCGATTTTTTTGAGTAAATTGTATCACTTCGAGTTTTATGAGAGCAGATTGTTTCTTTAAACATGATAACATAAAATGTTTTCAACTTATTCTTATTTTATAAATATGATTATGCCTTATGTACATTATAAATCTTGATAGAATTACTTCCAACCATCTGACACCATTATTATAAATTGTCAATTGAAATTTAAGAATTTTTCTATGGGAATGCTATTCACTGAAAAAATTATTTGGTCTCAGATTGGTTAGCTGATGTCGATTTCATCAACGACCTCAAAAAGGGCAACTAACTACAGTGGGTGGACATTTTGATTGGTATTGTTACTTTAATGTAAATACATAAATTGTATGTCTTTTTGATTTGAAAGAAAGACTAGATGCTCCACATAGGTTGTTGATGAAACTTATTTTTGTCTGTATATTGGTTGCTGGCTGGAAGGAGCTATGCTCCTGATTTATGCTGTTATTTGTAAAAAATTTTGTTGTAAAATTTTCAGGAGATCCTAGTTACAGGGAAGGTTCTGCCGAAATTTTTACAAAAACGTTGACACTTTCTTATGATAATGAATTTACAGAAGTTATTTAATTCTCATGTGATTTGATTAAATTTTGTTTTTTTTTAAAAACAAAACAAAAGAGAAATAAACATCCGATAAAATTGGAGGCTTACGGGAAGGTGAGAATAGTTTACGCCCGTGCCGATCACCCTTATTTCAGGACGTGACACAATCAACTTAGTGGAAATATGCCTCTCCAAATATGCCAATTGACTTCCCTTACAATATTGGATTTTGCAAACAACAAAATATCAGGTTCATTACCTGTTTGTCTACAAAATATGACAGCCATGACTCTCCCTAATTCACATAGTGGGGTTTACGGATATTGCATTGAAATTCAAGATATCATTTACGAAATGCTAGACTGTGTTGTGGTGCATATAAAAGGACAACGACCAAGATACAGCGAAAACTTGAAATTATTGCATTCTGTTGATCTATCAAGTAATAATATGTCTGGAAAAATACCTCCAGAGATATTTAGTCTCACTGAATTGCAATCTTTGAACTTGTCCCGTGATCAATTTGATGAAAACATACCAAATGAGATAAGGGACATGAAAAAGTTGGAATCTCTTGATCTCGCAAGCAATCAACTTTCAGGTGAAATTCCTCAAGATAGGGCTGAATTGTCTTTTCTAGAAGGCCTGAACCTTTCCTTCAACAATTTCACTGGTAAGATCCCAACAGGAACTCAACTTCAAGGGTTTGATCCACAAAGTTTCATGGGGAATCCAAGATTATGTGGAGCTCCACTTCCAAAAAATTGCACAGATAAAGAAGAGCACATTGAACCCGTGGAAACAAATGATAGTCAAGAAGATGAATCTCTATTTTACTTCTACGTTGGGATTGGAGTTGGATTCGCCACAGGTTTTTGGGGAGTCTGTATTGCCATTTTCTTCAACAAGAATTTCAGGCATTCTTACTTTAGATTCTTATATCGCATCCAAGACAAGCTTGATATGGGGGTCCTCAAGACGAACCGTTTTCGTTGAAAATCGGCACTGCGGTAAGTGATCTTAACAAACTTCTGATGTATGTTTTAATTATTTGATTTTTTTCCTTTTGAATTCTTAGATATTTCCCTATTCATATAATATTCTAGGATTATATCTTCCATACTGAACACAAATATTTACATTATAAAATAAATATGACAAAGAAGACATGCCTTAGATTATATACATCTGATATTTTGGAGTTATATTAATTATTAACATTTTTAATTTGAATATTATGTAGAGTCTTGCCGTGCATACTTCAGCAAGTCTCCTGACGAGGAAGTGGATTTACCAAAGACATCACCAATAATGAAGTCTATTCTGTTGACTTGAAGCTTAGCCATGTAATATAGTTTGATTCTCTGTTGCATGCAAACTATATACTTAATAAGTATGTATTTTAAACAAAAAGGACATTTTCTTTTGGGTAAGAAAAAAATGTTACTGTGTAATAAATAAAAGATAATATATGACTTAATGCTTTTATGTTAAATTGGATTTGAGTATTATTGTCAAACTCCCAAGTTGACTCTACAAGTTTATTGTTTTTATGTTTATAGCTTATAAAATCATGTTAACTCGATCATAAACTCATATTAGATAAAACTCAGTTAAATTTGTAGGCTAACTCTTCGAGTTTATTGTATTTACGTTTCTAGCTTATAAAATCATGACAATCATCTCATAAACTCATTGAGCAAGATATGTATATACTATATAGAACTTGATTTATATAAATGGTAGGATTTAGTTCAATGAAAAAAAACTAAAAAACAAAAATATTATGAATCATGATTCTCAAATCCATGAACTAAATTACCCCATGCCTTATGAATGTGCTCATGTATCCTTGATCATTTTTTACCTTTATTTTTTTAAGATTTAATGGATAAAAATGTCTTAGAACTTTTTTTGTAGGGACGCCTAGCATTCTAAACTTTTTTTGGACCATTTTTGTCTTGAAAATTTCAAAAATAGAGCATTTAAACCTCACCATTAAAAATTACAAACGTTGACTATTAACTTGAAGTTTGACCAATGATGTTTTTTTTATTTTTTTCCTCCTTCCTTCTGTGTTTGGTCTCTAATTTTGTTCTCCAGTGAATTCTTTAACTTTTCTTCTTCCTACAAATGAAGGAGGGAAAAATCATGAAATATCCTAATCAAACTTCAGTTAACTTTCAACATTTCCTATATTTAATGGTGGGGCAAAAATTCTTCGTTTTTTAAACTTTCATGGCAAAAATATTCCCAAAAAAAAAAAGTTTAGTTGTCAAGCACCCCTAGAGAAAAATTTTTAAGGTATGTTTGCCATTTAACTTTTTTTTTAATTCATTACATTTCATTCGTTTCTAGTAAGTAAACGGACCTCAAACTTTAAACTCCAATGAAAAATGGTCAGTCAAGGGTGGATTTATTGGATGTTTCACTATATTGACCATACTCAATCTCTTAATTTAGACCGTGAGAGGTTTTGGAAAATTCTGTTACCTCCAAGGATTAAGATCTTTCTTTGGAAAATCTTGCGAAATTCATTGCCCACCACAAATTGTTTGATTCATCATCATTGTAAAATTCATCATCAGTATGAATCTGGATTTTCTCAAAAGTATAGTCATGACAAAAGTCACAGCAGAAAATTAAAAAGTCACCATTGAAAACTTGTCACAATGTCATCATGAAAGCTTCTGTCATTAATTCTATATGCAATAATAAAAAAAAGCTGCAATACACCATTAAAAGGAAAAATTGGTGCCATTAAAGGTGAAGAATTTTAACTACCAATCAGTTGTGACTCTTTTGTCGCAGTCAAAAGTTGAGCATCAATGGCAAAGTTTTTGTTCTTGCCGGAATGTCACGCCCCAACAATAGAGGGTGACCGGCACGGGTGTGAACCATTCTCACATTCCTGTAAGCCTCCAAGTGAATGTTTATTTCATTTTTCAAGAAAAGAACAAAATTCAATCAAATCACATGAGAATTAAAATAATTTCTTTAAATTCATTATCATAAGAAAGTGTTGACGTTTTTGTAGAAATTTCGGCAGAACCTCCCCTGTAACTAGGATCTCCCGAAAATTCTACAACAAAATTTTTTTTACAAATAACAGTATAAATTAGGAGCGTAGCTCCTTCCAGCCAGCAATCAATATACAGACAAAAATAAGATTCATCAACAACCTATTTGGAGCATCTACTCTTTCTTTCAAATCAAAAAGACATACAAATTATATATTTATATTAAAGCAATAATACCAATCAAAAAGGTCCACCCACTCTAGCTAGTTGCCCTTTAGAGGTCGATGGTGGGATTAGTGTCAGCTAACAAATCTGAGGTCAAAATAATTTTCTAGTGAATAGCATTCCCATATTAAAATTTTTAAAATTTAACTCAACAACCTCTAATAATAGTGTCAGCTAATTAAAAATAATTCCACCAAAATTTATAAGCATGTAAGTCATAGCCATGTTTGTAAAATAAGAATAAATAAATAAAAAAAATTTATATTATCATACTTAAGAAAATAATCTGCTCACGTATAACTCAAAGTGGTACAATTTACTAGCCAAAATCATGTAAGTTTCGAAAATACATATTAATCAACCTTTAAAATCTTGAGAACTCAACAGAACAAGTTACAAACATGGACACATAGTCCACGAGAGTAAATAACTAAACACGGCTTATGCCACGAAAACAAACGTGGACACACCAGTCCATGAGGGTAAATAACCAAATGCAGCCGAAGCTACGAAATAAATGCGGACACACAACCCACGAGGGTAAGTAACCAAACGCGGCTCAGGCCATGAAATCAAATGCGGGTATGAAGCCCACGAATACCAAACGTGAGAATAAAACTCACGAAACAAACTAGCTAGTGTTCAACCACAGCGCTACGGGCTAACAGAACTGCCGTTAGTAGCAGTGTTCTGTTTGGAGTCCTCTCAAAAATCATGTTTCAAACATGCGAGAAAATAATTACTTCTGAAATATAATCAACATTTCCAATGCCAAACTCGCATGTATCACTTTAAATTTTAATTTAAGACCTGTTGAAAATGGTCTTTCATAAAATATTATATGAGCTTGCGTTATTTAAATAATCAAGGATTTCAAGAGTTTAATAAACCAAATAATTCCATAAATCTTTAAAACATATTTCCTGAGGAAATAAATGCATATATCCTCTTTTAAACATCTCGCATCAATATCACAGAGTTTCAAAACTAATGTAATTCACAAGAATGAAATATCTCAATGAAAATTTGTTAAAAATAAAAATACCAATAAAAATTAAATTAAAGGGAATGCTATTCACTTACTTGTTGAATCTTTAAATTCTCAAAATATTCCTTGCCTTTAATTCTGGTTAGGGTCCCGTTCTTCCTCGCACCCTTATCAACACCACAGACCGAGAAGAAAAGAAATAGGGATGTTGGGTTTACAGCTGAACAGGGGAGAAGACAAACAACACTTTTACCACGCACAACAGAGGAAGAAAGCTTAACTCACAGTACCAATACTAGCTCACCGCACAGCCTCACCCCAGTTCTGATGCTTTACGTTTTCTTGGCTCAGCACGACACAGATGGCATAACAGAGAGGAAAAAAAAACAAAAATAGGGAGCACGGACTAGTGAAGCAACCCATGAAGCTCACAGTTGAGTTGGGAAAGGAAGAACTTATGAGTTAAAACCCTCTAGCTCCGATGACCTGGTCCTTCACTCCGACTGCAACTCAAACGTGAACGGCACACAGAGGCAACAGACTGAAAAAAAGAAAAACAGAGTCTGCATGTATGAAAGAGTGTCTACACGTCACTGAGCAGTGGCGAGCCCTCTCCGTCGTCGATAATAGCCAGGAGTAAAGAGGGGAGAGATGGTCAGTTATGGTAGAAAGGTAGAGAGCAATTTCAAGCACTCTCGAGTTCTTTCTCAGTCTCTGCGTGCACCCACTGGATAAGGAAGAAATAATAATAAAAAAAATTTTACCACATGAGGAAGAGGGCATTATAGTAATTACATATAAGCTAAAACCAACAAAACAAAATTCCTCTTTGTGCTCCGGAGGTTTTGAACTTAAGACTTTTTTTTTATTTGGGCTATTACATTCTCCCCCTTTAGGAAATTCGGTCCTCCGAATTTAAATTTGTGCTTACCTCAATCTTCAAACAAGTGTGGATACTTGACATGCATATCCCTTTCAACTTTCCATGTAGCTTCCTCTTAAGAATGGTTACGCCATAATAATTTTACCAAAGCAAGTTCCTTCGACTGCAACCTTTTTACTTGTTTTGTCCAAAATAGCCATACGAGTTTCCTCATAAGATAAGTCTGAGTCTATTTGAATTCCCTGTGTTTCTATCACATGAGAGGAATCATATAAATACTTCCATAACATTGATACATGAAACACTGGATGGATACCCGACCATTCAAGCGGTAATGCCAAGCAGTAAGCAACTGCCCCAATTCTTTCTAAGATTTCAAATGGACCCACATACCTTGGGCTCAATTTACCTTTCTTCCCAAACCTCATCACCCCTTTCATAAGAGATACTTTAAGGAATATTTTATCCCCAACCATGAATTCTAACTCCTGACGCATCACCAATATAAAACCATCCAATAGGGGACCTACACTACCTCCCATAAAGTGCTTCATATGGGGCCATTTATATGCTAGATTGATAACTATTGTTATAAGAAAACTCTACCAATGCTAAGTAATGATCCCAACTACCACGAAAATCCAAAATACAAGATCTTAACATATCTTCAAGTATCGAAATGGTTCTCTCAGACTGGCCATTGGTTTGCGGGTGAAAAGCAATACTGAGATCCAATCGAGTACCCAAAGCTTCTTGGAAAGATCTCCAAAATTAAGAAGTAAATTAAGGACCTCTATCAAAAATTATGGATATCAGAATCCCATGCAGTCGCACAATCTCATTAATATATAATTGAGCATATTTATCAACATTATATGTT